ATTTTTGAGAGATAAATTTGTCCATAGTGGTTTCAAGCCATTAAATAACTAGAGCATGTAGATTAGAGTCTAGAAAGGAAAAAAAAATTCGATTTAATTATATATTTTTTTTATGTACATTAATTTTTTTTTTAAGGTTTTAAATATGTTTATTGACTTTACTTCAGTTATTTAAAGGTGTTTAAAGAAAAATAATACTAAAATTGAATTTCTAGGGGTTTGAAACTTTACTTCAATTTTTTGATGAAGCGTTTTAGTGACCTTAAGTTCATCAAAAGTTACAGATTTTTCTTCTTTTGTTTTTTTTTTTTGTTTTTTTTTTTGTCAGCATCCTAGGCCTGAAGAAGTAGGCCCAAGCTGCCCCTGGTGAGTAGGCCTTAGCTCATTGGGCTGGCTTGGCTGCACAAGCCCAATTTGGTCAAACTAGCCTCACGCAGAGGCCTGTACAAGTAACCCAAGCACGAGCTTGGCCTTTTTTCTTCCAATAATTAATTTATATTTTTTTTTTTTAGTCATGGAATTTGGTGTAATATATATATATATATATATATATATCGTTATTAGTTGTAGTTTTATGTACAGTTAGACGATTATAGAATATATATGATTTTTTCATATTTTTGTTTGAACATATATATCTAATTATATTACTCTTATTGTTTAAAATTTATTTCCTCAATTATTTGCTTTTTATTAAAATTCTCATCAAATTAATTTTTAATATAATTTTATCAATTAATAAAATTATATATATATGGATTTTGGAATAAAATTTTAGAATGAGAGTGTTTTATTTTTTAAAATATATTATTATAATTTATATTATTGATTATTTTTATAATTTTTAAATAAGAGCGAGTGTAGTTGCACATATATATACAATTAAAATTTATCAAAATCAATTTTGTAGTAGTTTTGAGAGAGAGAAAGAGATCTAAAAGTATATTTTAGATAATTTAACTAATTTTTTTAAAAAATTAATAATCGATTAAAAAAACTCACGAGTTTTATTTACTTATATATATATATATATATATATATATATATATATATATATATATATATATATAAGAATAAATTTTTATTTTTTCATTACTTAATTTTAATGAAAGTCTATACATTAATTGTAACTTTATTTTTTTGGATATATTCTTATAAACTAATATATTTTTAAACTATTTTTTTAAAACTTCTTAATTAATATTTCAAGTTTAAATTATATATTATAAGTTTTTATTTAGGAATCCCTAAATAAAGAAAAAAATAAATCAAGCTTTTTTAAGCAGAAATTTTATGAAAAAAATACTAATAATTATAAAATTTTATGAAAAACACAAAATGAATCAAGTTTTTATTTTTTGATATAATTTTATTTTAGTCATTAAAGTTTTATCATGCTCGATTTTTATCCTTATTGTACTAAAATTAAATAAAGTTTACCATCTTAAAGTTTTTGCACCATTCACTCCTTTCTTTTTACCCTCACAATGTAATATCCGCTCTTAGTTTGTTTCTTTTTTTTTCCTTAGTTTTTTTTTTTTTTTGTAATTTTTAAATTATTTTGTTTTGATTCCCGATTTAAAATAAAAATTTTAATCCTTAGCTTATGCACTACATCCCTTTTTTTCTTTGATTTTTTTCATCAATTTTTGTTCTTTTTTTTTATTTAATTGAGTGTTAAAATTTTTAAAAATCAATCGTTATTTTTTTTCACACAAACCGACGATTATATGTATATATATATCAAATAATCTTCGCATCAACATTAAATAAGAATAAAATTTTATTTTTTCATTGGTTGATTTTTATGCAAGTTTATACATTAATTGTGACGTTATTTTTTTTGGATATATTCTTATAAAACAACATATTTTTAAAGTATTTATTTTTAAATTCTTAATTAATATTTCATGTTTAAATTATATATTATAATTTTTTATTTAGGAATCCGTAAATAAAGAAAAATAAATCAATTTTTTAAGCAAAAATTTTATGAAAAACACAAAAAAAATAAAAATAAAAATTAATGCAAAAATTATAAAATTTTGAAATGATTTTGTTCTATCTACTCGTAGCATTGTGTAGATAATTTCAAAAATTAATCTTTTCATCAACATTAAATAAATAATTTTTTCCCCATTTGCTAATTTTTATAAAAGTCTATCTATTAATTATAAATTTATTTGTTGGGATAATATATTATGAAATGTATATTTTAAAAGTTTTTTTAATTCTTGATTAATATTTTAGTTAAAATCAATCCATAACAAAGAATGATTTATATTTTTTTAGGCAAAAAAATTTATAAAAAACATTTAAAAAATTAATTAAATAAGAAATTATAATTAAAAATTTTTAAAATTTTAAAATGATTTTGTTCTATCGGACCTATAGTGTAGCATGAGTAACCGACTTGTAGTTAATCGATTAATATGTAATTTATCATGAATTAAAAGAAAAAAATTAATACCGGATACTATGTTTAGTTAAAAGCTCTATATATTTTTGTCAAAAGTAATACGAAGCATATTACCCTTTTAAAAAAAAAATTAAAATGAACTGAAAATCAATAAAAAGGATTAAATTACAATTATATTTAAAAATTTAAGGATTAATTAATTATATTAACAAAGACTCTCTCTCTCTCTCTCTCTCCCCCTCCCTCCCCCCCTCTCTCTCTCTCTCTCTCTCTATATATATATATATATATATAATAGAACAATCGATTCTACATGTTGGATTTGCTTAAATTGAATGACAACTCTATATTAAATAAAAAATTCTAATCATGAGAAGAAAACAAAGAGAAAAACGAAAACTATATTGTTTATTTTCTCAATCCTAATTAGATTGTTTTTATTTTTATTTATATCTGGCTCAAAATTTTAAATAATATATTTTCTTAAAATATCTCCAATTGATAAAAAAAAACTTCTTTTTTCATTTTCTATTCTTCATTAAAAAAACCAATATTCTTTACATTTTTCATACATACAAATACCTTTAATAAAAAAAAATTAAAGATAATTTTTTTTACTACATGAAAAATATTCATTCCTATAAGAATTTTAATTCATGCCTAAATTTTAGAAGTAAAATATTTTCATCAATATGTTAATTTTTTATAATTATTTTAAAATTTATCGTTAATTAACTTGATAATTTTTTATTTGATCTATCATCTTAATTTTGAATAGATTTTCTTTTTAAATTAATATCAGTTTCATGTAATGCATGAATTTGATCCCTAATAATTTCAATAAAAAAAATATTTTTAAAAATATAAATAAAAGTACTAATGTAACATAATAATTAATAAATTTTTTAAAGTATATAAAAAATAAGACATATTATATTAGAATAATTAATTTATAATTTAACTACTCGTTATTTTACATTTTGTAAGAACATACAAATCAAAAGGACCAAGGCCTCACAAAAAGTAAAAGCTATCCATGGAAGTGGAGACAACGGGTAGGTGAACTGATGAGATTCTTCGTTTATTATTTTCTTTTAGTGGACAGTGATATGCATGTTTATATAATTCTCCTTCATCATTGTCTGCTTTTTGACGATGACTACATTTCCCCTTTCATTGTTTCTTACTCTCTAATCCTTTGCTACAGTGCAGAAAGTATTTTGTTCCTTCTTCAAGGGAGGAATGACAAAGCATTGGGATCATTAAAAAAAAAAAAAACATTTCTTAATATCCATAAAGCATAGATATCCCTTACAGCTTAATTTGTTTCTGACCTTTCTCTTTCAGATCGCCAACTCTCCCAAGTTAAAATGCTTAGATTCGAATAAAATATTATTCTACTTCCCATATTTTGGTAATTCATTGTTTCAACTGCAATAGTTATGATACCTTTTCTTGCAGTGGATTTGAGCACACAATTTCCAGAAACTTTATTGAAATCAATGCGTACAAATTTCTGTTTAGTCCTCAGATTTATTAATAAATCCATGTAATAATTCCACTGAGCAATGAACAAACACAGAAGAGCTGGGCGAAGCATCTGAAATTCATATGCTTGCTTTAACTTCTCTCATTTCTTATTCATTTGCAAATACAACTATAGAAATTGATTTTGGGCCTTGCACAAAATCACCATGCCTGGACTTAATACACAATTTCTACAAATGAGATGAAAAATAAAATCTAATCCAACAATAGATACAAATGAGTTCAATCCAATAAGAGAGAAATATATATAAAGTATGGAGTTTAATACAATATTGAATCAAATCTATCATATTTAGGCTTACAAATTATTTAATATAGTCTTTCCAGATCTTCCATCCCCAAGCTGTCAAATAACAGTAGTAGAATATTTTACCCTTTGCTCTCAGGCATGATCTGCGGTTCCTAAAAAGTTCAATGATCCTTAAAATATTGAAGTTGTGGCATTATGATTGAAGTTGGGATGTGAGAAATCTTGTGCCACTCTTCACCCATCTCCTCCTTCTTGTAACGTTTACTTAGAATAGGGCACTTATCGATCACCAATCTCTGTAATGATGTTGTCAAAACATAGTCCGGCAGAGCTCTCAACATTGGACAGTTAGAAATGTCCAAATATTGAAGTTGTGGCATTATGATTGAAGTTGTAGCATCTTTTTCTCCCACTCTCCTTTCTATCCAATCATCCCACTCTTCTAGTTCTTCCAGAGACGAAATTACGAGTTCTTTCAATTTGGGAAAAGCAGTGACCCTTGCCATTTCTCCTCCATTGATATAAGCCTTGTCAACGTTTTCTATGCCTAAAAATCCAACATCCAACCTTCTCTGCTTCGACACCATCAATTCTAGGCTTTCAAGATTGGGCAATCTTCCCAAAGGAGGCAAAACTTCAAGGTTTCCATGAAGACGGAGGTGAAGCATCGTTAATCTGGTCAATGACACCATCCAATTGGGTAAAATGATCCCGCTGTAGTCTAGTATGTTTAGAATATCCAAGTCTGATGGCGGCTGTAACGCTTCAATTAAAGCTTCCTCATTAGCTCGCAACTCTGTTTTCTCTCCATTGAACCACAGTCCCAAATGTTGCAGGTGCTTCTTTTTCTTGGATTGAAGAACCTGACAAACTCAATGACCTGAGGCATGTCAACTGCTTGAATAAGTCAGGTAGTGTGGCTCCAAGGGAAGGATTTTTAGCGTTGATCATCAAGAGGCTGCGAAGTTTCTTTGCTTTATAAATGGAGACAGGAAATTGGCTTTTTGATGAAAGCTTCATGGTTGAGTGACGAACTCTTTCGCAAGAAGTGTCCGTTTATGATTCTTCAAGGTCGTTGAGATCCACCATTAGACTTTCATTTTTTGTGAGAAATTTGACGAAATCATGCATTATATCATGCATCTTGAATGTCATACGAAGTCGATCATACTTCTGAAAATCTTGGAAGAAAGAGCTTGCGGCTAAGATTTCGAAGTACTCCTCACCAACTAACTCCATATCTCTACTTCGAGTGTCTTTAAGGTAACCTTGAGCCATCCACATCTTTATCAATTCATCCTTCTCCATCTTGTGGTCTTTTGGAAACATGGCACAATATATGAAACATCGTCTTACCACAGCTGGTAAATCATAGTAACTCAAAAGCAAAGGGGGAAATATTCCTCTTTCAACATGTTCTAGCTCCCACAATTCACTAGATAAAACATGTTCCCACTCTTCTCTTGTTCTTTTAACCTGCATTAGTCCTCCCAATACCTTGGCAGCTAGAGGCAAGCCCTTGCACTTGTCTGCAATTTTCTGGCATATCTCTGTCAATCTTTCGCACTCATCTTTGCTTCTGTTATAGAATGTCACCCGACTGAATATTGACCAACATGCCTCCCAAGACAATTCTGCAAGGTTGATCTTGGTTCCTATCGTGGTTGCGACAGTGTCCTTACGAGTAGTCACTAGAATTCTGCTTCCTAGTGCACCACATTTGAGAGATAGTTTCAGTGGTTCCCACTGTCTATAGTCTTCTGTCCACACATCATCAAGGACAAGAAGGAACTTCTTTCCCTTAATGAATTCAGAAATACTATGCAGAAGGGATTGCAATTCAACTAAATTTGGAGCAACCCCAGTTAGAGCCTCAAGGATAGCTTTTGCAATTCTAGTCTCATCAAATGGATCTGAAACACACACCAATATTCTTTTCTCAAAATGACTCGTAACCTCATCATCATTATAGGCTAGTTGGGCGAGTGTTGTCTTTCCAATTCCGCCCATCCCTGCTATGGAGACGACATTAACTTCCTCAGCTTCTTGACTACTTCCACTCAACAACTTGCTTACTATAGTTTTCTTCTCAGCATCTCGACCAATCACGCTTGATTCATCAACAAAAGATGCGCTTGTTAGTCGTTGAAGCTCATCAATGGGTCTGTACAATTCGAAGCCATACGTTGCTTTCTCATTGGCAATCTCTTCCAGTCTTTCACTAACTTCTTTGATCTTGATGGCAATGTCACGGCGTCGAACCACTAGATTGAAACTAAAGCAAGGGGGTCTCAGGAAGGAACACACCATCTTCTTTCGGCCTGGAGTATTTTCTTCATCTTCCTCCAATCGCCATTTAAGAATTGCAGTGCTCCATTCATCAAGCACATCATCCATATCATAGCATACATCTTTGAGCTTGTTTAGCCAATCTCTTACAGCCGCATCCTTCACTTGCTTTCTATCTGCGCCAATCTCTTACAGCCGCATCCTTCACTTGCTTTCTATCTGCGCCAATCTCTTACAGCCGCATCCTTCACTTGCTTTCTATCTGCATCTTCCAGGACAGATTGGATAGCAAGGAGATTGCTTTTGAGCTTGTTCACTTGTTTCTTCACAACCACTACCAGATCCACCTCCTCTTGTACCTGTTAGTGACATGGATAAATATTTTTTAAATATTGTTTAAATTAAAAAAAATAAGCATTTGTTTTTTCTGCAGTAGACACGTACTGTGGGATGGATAGAGTATAAAGTTGAGTATTAATATTTAGATAATTTTTGTTTTGGAGAATATCAGGTTTTCATTTTATATTAACATACGATTAGAAGATAGAAAAATATCAAAGCTTAATCACATTTATCATGACATAAATGCTTAAGATAACCAATCATTTAAAATTTGAATGCTTTTTTTAAAAAATATAATGGATTTTAATAAATTGTTTTCTTTACTTATATCTGGTCAACTTTAGGCTATTCAATTAATATTAATTTACAACAAAAGATATTCAGTCGTAAATATTTGTCTAAATTAAATTTTAGTGAGAACTAATATTAATATTAAAAGGTTGAAATAATTTGGTCCAAGGGCTAAAATATACCAAATAATATTAAGAACTGAATTACGTACATAAACATATAATTAATTTATACTAATTTTTATTCATGTTTATATGAACGTAAACATACATTCAAGATAAAAAAGGAAAAAGGAAAATTAGTAAATATATGAAAAATTAAGAAAATATTTGTTGTTTAGGGAAAAAACAACTTTAATAAAGTAAAGTATGTTATTACTTATTGTGAAACAAGGAACTACGAAGTCCATAACTATGTAATTTCGATTAAGTAAGTTTGAATCGATAATTAATTCACATAAATTTTAAGTATTTTAAATACATAAAATTGAGTTTGAAAGTGTATATTTAATTTCAAATATGTTACATAAGAAGTATCATTAGACTAGTTTGCGTGTCAATAAAAATTAAATCTACTTTCTAAGGAATATTAAAAAAATTAATATATCAAAAAATTATGAACTTTGTATTTTTTAATCATATTAGCTCTTTTTTTTTTTTTTTTGATAGAAAAGTCAGGAACCAACCTTCTGATAACCATATCAACGCAGGAGAATTTTTTCGAATTTAATTCTAATTTATGGTGACTTAGTGTGTGATGGAGCACCAATGCTAACTTTGCCATATAGGATTTCACATAGGTATTATCTTACTAGCACACGTTTTTTTTTTTTTGGATCCTACATGGCAAAGTTAGCCTTGTTGCCATATGACATATTTCATCACACGTCCCGTCAGTATAGATCAAAATTAAATTCAAAAAAATTCATATGTATTAATATAGTTATTAGAATCTTAGTTTCTGATTTTTTTATCTAAAATTAAAAAAACGAGTTAATATAATTAAAAAAATATAAAATTCTTTTTTTTAGTATAATAAGACTATTAAAAATAAACTCTTCAATATCGTCAAGTATATTCAGGAGAATAATCAATTCAAAATAAAGAAATGTAAAATGAATTTTATTGTCCTATGATCTTTTCATTGTCTTTATAGGAACTTAGAGAATTACGTTTAAGTTGCATTAATGTTGGTTTTGTTAGAAAGTAAAAACATAATATAATAAAAGTGCAAACATAATTATGTAATAAATGAACATTGCAGGACGTCCTTTTTCATATTTATTTAATGCATCTAAGGAAATTTAATAAAAAAAAAATTAATTGTGGATCTCGAAGTTTTAACCTAAAAAGTAAAGAATGAAGTATATATTATTGACCACTGGCCAACCTCATTGGAATTCGACTCTCAAAACTCCTAAAATGTTTAAACATATATAAGTCAACATAGAGCAATAATTAAAATCTAAAAAATAATAAAATTACATATAAATTTATCAAATTATTTATTTGGATTCTTAGTTTTCTTTAAATAAGATTATTAGGTCTTATCTTATATTATATTTCACTCATTTAGACAAAAAGATTCATAAAACTTTTATTATTATCATTATTATTGTTATTATTATTTTACAAAATATTGAAAGAAGACTCTTTTAAGCCAAAGGATTCATAGAAGTTCTATACATTCTTATATTTTTAATTTTTATTCATCTCATATAAAGTTAAAATCCAAAAACAATAAAATTACTTCAAATTCAGCAAATTATTAAATCAAATCTTATGTTATATTTGACTCTTTTAAATGATTTATACCTTTGACAAACTCTACTAATATTTTTTTTAAAAAAAATGAGATTCCTTAGTCAAAAGATAGCATAAAATTTTTATTCCTGTCTATATCTTTAATATTTGTCTTACATATGTTAAAGAAGACTCTTTAATAAATTAAAAAGTATAATGTTAATATAATCATGATAAAATCTAATGGTGCTCTGAATAAAATTATTCACATACTGTTCGTAGCTTATATGTTTGTGTTATCGATAGATTTATTTGAAGGAAAAAAAAACCTCTTTTAGACAAAATTAATTCACAAAATCATAGTAAATTTAGCAAGAGAAAGCATTTTAACTTTATAATAATAAAATATAAATATTACTATATGAGACCCAATGTTTTATCAAGTTTTATTTCTTTGGAGTTTTTTTTTTCAAGAGTTTTCAATCATAGTTGTTACTAAATATAAGTAATCAAAATGACAAATAAAAGAACAAATTTAGATTATGGATTTATCATATTTTTACTTTTTACAATCGCTAGCTACTCCTATTAAAAAAGACTTCTTTAAAGAAAAAGATTCATAAAATTAAAATCCAACATAATAAAATTACTTTAAAATTCAGCAAATTATTAAATTGGATTTTTTTTTTTTTTTTGGTTTTTTTTAGGGGACCTTTGCTCATTGTCTTATGTTATCTTTGACTTCTTTAAATAAATGATTTATATCTTTTGACAAATTAAAAACTTCTCCTTAGTTAAAAGATGAAGAAAAAAAAATTATTCATACATGTAGCTTCAATATTTGTAGCACATATAATAAAAAATAATTTCTTTAAAATAAAAGAAGTTTTGAGAGCTGTAATGTTAATATTATTACAAACTTTTTTATTAACACGTATTTGTATTATATATAGGTTTTATTTGAACAAAGACTCCTTTAGATAAAAGTAATTCATAAATATTATAATATAATAATAATTTTGGAAGGAGAAACAATTTTAATTCTATAATATTAAAATACAACAATTTATTATGTGAGATCCAATGCTTATCAAATTTTTTTAAAAGCTTTTTAAGAGTTTTCAACTATAGATATTAATAAATATAAGTAATAAAAATTTTAAAAATGATTTCAGATTACTATTTTACATATATTTACTTTTATATTTGAATATATTTATTTTTATCATATAATAAATTAACTTTCCTTTTAAATAAAAACGAACAGGACAGTTTTTTTTAATTTAATTTTAATAATTAATTACGTGCTTTTCAAGGTAAACTGAAACTCTCTTTCTCTTTATTTGCTTTTGGAAAAAAAAAAGAAAAAAAAAGAAACTTTCTTATAACAACATGATACGAAAAATATTGTTTTTAGTTTTAACTATATGCTTATAAGAAAATTATATGAAATTAATGAATATTATATTTCAGGAGTTCTTGTATAAATTTTGTATTTTTTAACTATTAACTATTAATCAAATCATACAAGATAATAAAATATATAGTTGAATAGAGTACGTGAGAAACACATAGTAAGAAAACTAGTAGATAAAAATGAGTGAACTACTGATTTAGCACGTGACAAACCCTGGGTTACTCTACAAGATAATAAAATTTTCATATCCAAATGTACATAACTAACATCAATATTGAACTCGGAGTAACTCACTTCTGGGTCTACTAGGTAATGCCTCGGCGATGGGTTACGGTGGATGCCTTATTCTGTTTGTTTGTTTCTATATATGGGAATGACCTGTCATTTTGATTTACAAGGATGAAACACACGTCGTTCCACTTGTGCCTTCAACCAACATTAATTCTCTTTTCTTTTCACAAAGTCTTAAGATTTTTCATAAATTACATTCTTGACATGCACGAATATTCCTATTCGAAATCTTATCATCAACAACTTGATTATAAACACCTTACTTAATTGATCATTTAACAATTAATTATAAAATACTCAAGTAACAACTATCAATATTTGTTTTATAAATTTACTTTAAAAAAGCAGATAGACACAAAGAAGCAATAAAAACGAAAATTAAAAAAAAAAATTACATTTCGACTATTGAGAGTGATAAAAATATTATTCACATATACTAAACTTTTTTTTTTTAATTTTTTATCTTTTATTTTTCTTTTTTTATAAAATAAATAGTATTAATTACTTTTTTAAGTGTCATAAGATATCTTCTAAAACATATACTTGACATTTTAGATCCTGGGCACCTCAATTTTCCATGCAGAAGTATACAATCCATTTGTCATCAGTATAAGAATAATATCCAATAAGTAGGAATAAATCCAACCCAATAAAGAGATAAAAATATTTGCAATTTCAGAAAAACGAAAAGCAAACACGGCCTGAGTCGCTGCACTTGGAATATGATAGATTACAATGATAGATCAGGAAATGCTGGTGGCCGGTGGGTTATAAGGATGCTGAGCAATTAATGAAATAAGTTAAAATAAAAAAGACGAATCCAACTAAGGAAAAAAAGAAAGAAAGAAAAGGTCGCGGCCCAAGTTTTTGCAATGATTAGCCCAAAATAGCTCAAGCCATTTCTTTAATAGTTTTTGGTTAGCAATTTTTGTACTGAGGAAGAATTTTTGAACTTGAAATTAAATTTTTAATTTTCAAGTTTCAACAACAAATTAGAATTATTTGTAATTAACGAATTCAAATATAAGATCCAAACCAACAATAATAAAAATGAGTTCAGTCCAATTTTATATATATGATGATTAATACAATATTAAATTAAATTCAGACTTACAAATTATTTAAGACAATCTGATCAACTAAACCAAAATAAATAACACACTCAAAAAAATAAAATCATACGAGATCAAAAGAATCAATTCTAAAGTCGTGGTTCAAGATCTTCTAACTTCAATCTGTCGAATAAAAAAAAAGAAGAAGCAAACATATTAATTTTTGTTCAAAATTTATTTATTTAAATTCGGCAAAAAAAAAAAAAAAAGATGGAAATATTAAGATAGAAATTGAAAAAAAGGAAAAAGTTAACAAATGTTAGTCTAAAAGTTAAATGAACGAGATTAAAAAGAAACCAAAAGGTAAAGAAAGAATTTAAGACAAAAATAGTAAAGAGACACCATTAAAAAAAAAAAAAAAAAGGGAGTAAAATTAACCATTAGCCCAATCATCAAGCGTTAAGAAGCAAAATTAGTATAAGAATTTACCCGTGGGATAAATATGAATATTTGGGATGTGAGAAATCTTGTGCCAGTCTTCACCCATCTCCTCCTTGTAACGTTTCGTTAGAATGGGGCAGTCATAGATCTCCAATCTCTGTAGCGATGCTCTCGAAACATAGTCCGGCAGTGCTCTCAACATTGGACAGTCAGAAATTCTCAATTCTTGAAGTTGTCGCATTATGATTGAAGTTGTAGCATCTTTTTCTCCCACTCTCCTTTCTATCCAATCGTCCCACTCTTCTAGTTCTTCCAGATACCAAATTTTGAGTTGTTTCAATTTGGGAAAAGCAGGGACCCTTGCCAGTTCTCCTTCATTGATATAAGCCTTGTCAACATTTTCTATGCCTAAAAATCCAACATCCAACCTTCTCTGCTTCAGCCCCATCAATTCTAGGTATTCAAGGTTGGGCAGTCTTCCCAGAGGAGGCAAAACCTCAAAGTTTCCACAATCAACGAGTTCAAGCTTTGTTAATCTGGTTAATGACATAATCCAATTGGGCAAAAAGATCCCGCTGTAGTCCTCTATGTGTAGAACATCCAGGTCTGATGGCGGTTGCAACGCTTCAATTAAAGCTTCCTCATTTGCTCGCAACTCTGTTTTCTCCCCATCAAACCACAATGCCAACCGCTGCAGGTGCTTCTTATTCTTCAGTTCTGCTTTCTCAGCTTCACTCACATCTACCATATTTCCTAGTTTCTCAATCCAAAGACTTCCTCTAAGCTGGTTTAAGTTTTTCAATTCTCCAAGATTGGCTGCTTTACTTGCATTCTCACCATCACTACACACAGGGAAACGATCTAATGTTCGAAGAGAACTTAACCTCTCTATTCCCTTGGGTATGAAAGCTACTCCTGAATAATCAACCATCAGATGCCTCAATTTGGTAAGTTTTCCAGTTGCCTGGGGTAATTCCTTTATAGAGTCACACCAAGAAACAGCTAGGGATTGCAGATTACATAAATCACATATGGTTTCTGGTAGTGACTTCAATTTACGACAATATGACAAATCCAGGTATCTCAAATGTATCAATTTCACTACCTCAATTGGTATTTCTTGGATTGAAGAACGTGACAAATCCAATGACCTGAGGCATGTCAACTGCTTGAATAAATCAGGTAGTGTGGCTCCAAGGGAAGGATTTGTAGCGTTGATCATCAAGAGGCTGCGAAGATTCTTTGCTTTGTAGATGGATACAGGAAAATGGCCTTGTGATGAAAGCTCCACAGTTGAGTGACGAACTCTTTCGTAAGAAGTGGCTGTGTATGATTCTTCAAGGTCATTGCCATCCACTATTAGACATTCATTTTTTGTGAGAAATTGGGCAAAATCATGCACAATATCATGCATCTTGAATACCATAACTTTTTTAAGTAAGGGCTCCTTCTCTTTAAAATCTTGAAAGAAAGAACGTGCTGCTAAGATTTCGAAGTACTCCTCGCCAACCACCTCCATATCTCTACTTCGAGTCTCTTTAAGATAACCTTGAGCCATCCACATCTTTATCAATTCATCCTTGTCCATCTGGTGGTCTTTTGGAAACATGGCACAATATATGAAACATCGTCTTACCACAACAGGCAAATCATAGTAACTCAAAAGCAAAGGTGGAAATAATCCTCTTTCAACATGTTCTAACTCCCACAATTCACTAGATAAAACTTGTTCACACTCTTCTCTTCTCCTTTTAACCTGCATTAGTCCTCCTAGTACCTTAGCAGCTAGAGGCAAGCCCTTGCACTTGTCTGCAATTTTCTGCCCGATCTCTGTCAATCTTTCGCACTCGTCTTCGCTTCTTTTATGGAATGCCACCTGACTGAATATTGACCAGCATACCTCATCAGACAATTTCGAAAGGTCGATCCATTGGGTGGTCCCAATCATGGTTGCGACAGTGTCCTTACGAGTGGTCACTAGAATTCTGCTTCCTGGTGCACCACCTTTGAGAGAGAGTTTCAGTGGTTCCCATTGTCTATAGTTTTCTGTCCACACATCATCAAGGACAAGAAGGAACTTCTTTCCCTTAATGGATTCAGAAATTCTCTGCAGAAGGGTTTGCAATTCAACTAAATTTGGAGCAGGCTCATTAAGAGCCTCAAGGATAGCTTTCGCAATTCTAGTCTCATCAAATGGATCTGAAACACACACCCACATTCTTTTCTCAAAATGACTCGTAACCTCATCATCATTATAGGCTAGTTGGGCGAGAGTTGTCTTTCCAATTCCGCCCATCCCTGCTATGGAGATGACATTAACTTCCTCAGCTTCATGACTACTTCCACTCAACAACTTGCTTACTATAGTTTTCTTCTCAGCATCTCGACCAATCACCCTTGATTCATCAACAAAGGAAGTACTTATCAAACGCTCAGTTTCTTCAATGCCCTTGTCAGATTCAAACCTATACCTCGCTTTCTCTTTGGCTATCACATCTAATCTTTCACTGACCTTTTTTATCTTGAGGGCAATATCACGACGGTGAATCACTTTTTGGAAACAAGAGCAAGGGGAGGGCAAGAAGGAACATACCATCTTCTTTGAAACCGCTTGATTTTCAGCTTCCTCATGTGTTTGTCTTTTAAGGATAGCTGTGCTCCACTCATCCAGCACGTCATCAATATCATAAACCAGTTGTTTAAGCTTGTTGATCCAATCTCTTACAACAGCCTCCTTGAGTTGTCTTCTCTCAGCATCTTCAAGAACAGCTTGGATTGCACTGAGATTGCTAGTAAGCTTTTCGACTTCTTCCTCCACACCGACCACTAATGTCACCTCTTCTTGTACCTGCTGAGTAGCGATTGTTGTGATCTGCTCCAGGAGTGGGGATACAAGTGATTCAGCCATGGTTGTTTTTGGTAATCGATTGTATGGACAAACAGGAAGACGGTTGTTGAGTGACAGATGAGGAAGAGAAGAAAGGTTTGTCTGCTTTGGTGTGCTGCTACGTTCTCTCTCCTTCGTGGGACCTTAGACACACTTGTGGTGAGCAACAGAGCAACTTGTATTTTACCTGATCATCTTTGACTCCCACCACACGTCGAAAAATAAATAAATAAATAACTTACACAGAGAAAAATGAAACGAGAGGAGTAAATTATACATCAATCTCTTTAGTTTTGAGATACTAATTAATTAATCCATTTTGTTAAATTAATTATTTAATTTATTGACTACATTTAATTTTTTTCCTCAAAAATACTGTTCTCTTTGATTTTTTTTACACATTAAAAAATTATTATTTATTTTACTGTATCAGAATTTTAAAAATTATTATTTACTTTACTATATATATATATATGCAATTAGTAGTATTTTAAAAAATAAATCACTTAAAGTTTTGATTACATAAACATTTTAAACAAATATAAATAAAAAAATAGATAATATTTTTGGAATATAAGGAGTATTATTTTTTTAGCAAAAATATTATTCTCATCAATATTTCTAAAATATCCATTTTTTCTATTTTTTACAAAAATAGAAAAGAATATAAAACCATAAAAATAAAAAAATGAAATAAGAAGAATTAATTACTTAGTTTTTCAAAATTAGAAGGATTAATTTGTAATTTAATCGAGAAAGGGGGATATAGTTGTTGAGACAAGACTAGATTTTTATGGGTCGGTAAGTTAACAATGGTAAACAAAGAAACAGGCCCATAATAATGGTAAATGGATCATAAAACTGTTAACAATGGTAAATGGATCATAAAACTGTGAGCCCATTAGTCTTCCATGATTAGATAATATGTAAACCAAGAAACAGGCCCATAATAATTATCCAACAATATTAATCCAATTAACAGATAATCAGATTAAGAAACAAAGCATTATTGATGCCCAAATCCAAACAAATTTACACAATCTAAACAAAAAACGGAAGAAAAAGAAGGGAAAATTACAGAGTCTCAATCGGAAGGGGAAAAAAAAATCCAAATCCAATCCAACACTCAAAGTTCACAAATTCAACTTCATTCAAGGAAATCGATCTGTTTCACGTAATTTGTATCAAGAGGTAAAATATATAATTATTTTATATCAGTAAGTGATATTTTTTTCTCCTATTTGTCTTTCCTCCTAAAACATTTGATACCGTATTATTAAATTATGGTGCCTATGGATTGTCTTGTTAAAGGATATGACAATAAATGAAAGAAATTAAATTTTTAATTCATTTAATTTTCATTGTAGCAATGTCCTATATCATTAAAAATATAACTTGTTCATCGATGACACCGGGTTCGATTCTCTCTATGCACGATCGTCACCCCGCGGTGCCTTACTCGTCCACTCGGGCTTGCGGGGTGTTCATGGGTCCAAGGATTAATCGAGATGCGCGCAAGTCTGGCCGGACACCCTAGGTTATCATCAAAATATATATATATATATAGAAAGTCATCATGAACGAGTACATGTGAATAGTAATCATGAATAGTAAAAATGTACGAGTAAAAGTAAATAGTAACTTGCTACGGTGTCTTCACGTGTTGATGAACGAGTAAGACGCCGAAAGCAATTTTGTCTTCTTATGTCACGTGGGATGAACAATGATGATGCTTGTGAATTCTTGTTTCGGAGAAGCTGTTTTTGTCGACGGATAGAAAGATGCTCGAAATGTGTAATTTTTTGTCAAAGTTCACAGGTGGTGAACTGGAGAGAAGATGCCAAAACAGTCGTCTTCATTAAGATTTTCCAAATCTAGCATATACATATATATATATATATATATATATATATATATATATATATAACTTATAACTTGTTCACCTTCTATATTGGTAATGTACTATTTAATTAATATAAACATGACTTATCAACTTTAGAATTAGTCTTTAAATTTATGAATATTGGTAAAAATTATAAGGTATATTATTATTTAATTTAATTCGAATTTTTTTTAATAATAATTTGATGAAAATAATGGAATGAGATATATGATATATTTTGTGTATGCATAAGATAGATATGCAAAAAAAAAAAAAAAAAAAGTAGAAAATTAAAAAAAAATGAAAATGTTAGATAGAAAATGGTTGCCAATTTAGCAGTTTTTTCCTTCAATCAATAATTTTTCAATATTAAAAATAATTTCTTCAAGTATTTTAACGTGGGAATATATATATATTTGTATCTTTACACAAGGCTAAGTTGAGAGACCTTATCAATAGATAAAATAAATAATTATTTTATATAGTTGAATGTTAAAGTTACTTTAACAAGCTATATATCAGTAAGAAATATTTTTCTTTTTCCTATTTGTCTTCCCTCCTCCTAAAACATTTGAGACCTTATTATTTGTTTTTTCCTATAGTTGAATGACAAAGCTATATGACTTCAGAGTTCAACTGTCTTCGTCTTCCACTGGCCATTGCTTTTTTGTCTTTTCTTGATTTCAAGGCAAGGCAATTTTCCGAAAGAATGCAAAACCTTGATGTATCTAAAATAACTAAGTTGAAGCACCCTTAATTTGGGTTAATGACATCATCCAACTGAGCAAAAAGATACCGCAGTAATCATATATGTGCAGAACTTCCAGGTCTGAAGATGGCTGTAAAGCTTCAATCAAAACATCCTCATTCACTTGCAACTCTGTTTCTCTGCATCAAACTTCAATCCCAAACTGTGCAGGTGCTTCTTATTCTTGAGCTCTGCTTTCACAGCATCACTTGCATCTGCTATAGTTCGTAGTTTCTCCATCCATACACGATGAAATTAGTCCACTTTTGAGGAGAACTTAATCTCTTTATTCCCTTTGGTATGAAAGCCAAACCTGACCCATCAAACTTGAGATGCCTCAATTTGGTAATTTTTCCGATTGCCTGACGTGATTCAACGAGAGATTCACACAAAGAAACGTCTAAGTACTGCAATACATAAATCACATATGGTTTTAGGTAGTACCTCCAACTCCATACAATGTGCCAAATTGAGATGTCTCGAATCTATCTGTCCCTGTCGAGACATTTAGAGGACTTTCAAAAATAACTATTAAGAATTTATTATTTATTTTATTTTTATTATTTATTAGAAATGTGAGTTAGTATTTTTTAGAGTCGCCACGTAATATTAAAATAAATTAAAAAAAACCAAAAAATGACACTAGTTTAGAGATTTCAAAATAAAAAATTGGTTAGACTCGTTAGAAAAATATAGATAAACCAAAGGTATTCTTTTCGGAAAAAAGGTAATATGTATAGTCTATCCTAAGAATTTATCTCCTAAAAATTTTAATTTTTTTCAAATTCTTATAAGTCAATTTCTAAGTTTATTATTAAAGCCAAATTAATTTTTTTTTTTTCATTTGTGGTATCATATTGAACCGATCATTGAATTCCGTTCTCGAGAGTTTTATTAATTCAATATCGGATCCGGTTTAAGTTTTGATATAACCGATATGTCGAAGAAAGACTTAATTACTAAATTAGTTGATATTATTTAGTCAATAACATTAGTCCCTATTAGATATGAGACTTGTTAAATTAATCTAGCATTTTCTATATTTTTTTCTTAGTTCTTTTCTTTTTCTTCTTTATTTTTAAATTTTTTTTGGGTATATCATTTTTTTATCATTTTTATTTGACACGTTTGTTTTTTTTTTTTTAATGATAGTGGAGGATTGTCATTAGTCCCTAAAAATTAGGAGACTCGACTATCCACCTATCTATTAATTTTATAATTAAACTAACGATATTAAGCAATATTTAACATTAAATAAATCTGAAATTAATTCATAAAACTTAAAAGATTAGATTCCACAACCTATATACAAGTCTACAATCATTCGTCAAAATTTCAGATTTAATTAATATTAAATAATAGACTAAATTGAAATTCAAAAATTCTAAAAAATTAAAGTAGAACTAGAAATAAACATATGGAATGTATATAGAAATTTCAGATTTAATTAAGGAAGGGAGACCAGTTAAACACATGGAATGTATATAAAAATTTCAGATTTAATGAAGAAAGGGAGACCAATTAAATAAATCCCTTTGGACCTATTGGGCTTTAGGTCCACTAGGCCAAGCCCATTGGACAAGCCCAAGCCCATGCTGACCAACCCATTATCTACCCTAAAAATTAAGCCCAGTAAGCCTAGCCCAGCCTAACCACGTAAGTAAACCCAACCTAACCAAACAAGCCCAGCCTAGCTAAAGCCCAAGATACCCAGCACAAAACTAACCCAAAACGTTTTCAACCCATTCGGCCCCTAAATCCATTGCTACTTTGTTTCTCCCTAAAACAGATTCATCTTTCGCCAGCTTCCTCATCCATCCCCGTTGTCTTGTAACTTTTGTGTGTGTGTGTGTGCGCGCGCGCGCAGGTGAAGCTAGGGATGGAAATTTGCCTCGTCCCAATGGAGCCCCGCCCCGCCCCGCATCAATTTTCCCCGATCAATATGGGGATTCCCCACATTGACTCGGGAACGAGGCAAGGCGAGGCGCCCTGCGAGCATGGATGGGGCCGGGATGGGATTTGCTCGCCCCGCCCCGTTTGCCTCGTTTGCCTTATTTTTTTTCATTAAAATTAAAATTATACCCCATATAAAATCTATAATTAGTGACTTTTAGGATTTATTTTCTATATAATTTTGCTATAATTTAAAATTTGATAGTAAAATTAGATAAAATGAGATGAAAATAAAAAATAAAAAATAAAAAAATTTTGCGTCATTTACACCTCGTTTGGGGTAGGGATGGTAGGGAAAATTTTATCCCGTTCGAGGCATGGGGCGAGGACAGGAAACTTTTTTTAGGGGTGGGGATCCCCGTTCGGGGCACGGGGCGGGGACGGAGATGGCAATCCCCGTCCCCGTCCCGCCTCGTTGCCATCCCTAGGTGAAGCTAG